AAACATAACTATTTATAATGCTCCCTAAATAATAAAAAATAAATTACAGTGAAAGCAATGAAGATTTTGTAGGTTTTCAACGAAACTAAATAACAATAAACCTTGTTTTGATTTATGGTATTTCCTTATTTTGATGTTTTGAGCTCTTTTGTGTTTAGAACAATATATACTAGTTTTTAAATTATCAAATTGAATTTTTGTTCAATAAAAATCTTTCAAATGCGACTAGCTTTTTTTTCCCCAAAACTTTGTCTTCAAAATAAGGGTGCGTCTTATACTCAGAAAAATATGGTACTTATTCCCCATGTTGTTTTAAACTTTGTAAGGTAAAGCTATAATGACTGAAACTTTTCTGTCTCAGAACATATGTTAATGTTATTTAAGTTTGTTAGTTACTTTAGGACTTTGTGGCTGACACTGATTGATCCAAAGTATTATTATAGAAAATTTATGTTCTTTCGTGTAAAACGTGCCAAAACTTTGTTACATTGTTACACCGCTAAGTTGACGAGTATCACACTATCATTGTAAAAATACAACATTACAGCAGCAAGCATGGAGATCTTAAACAGTGTCATTAACACAGTAGTATTATATTATCTCAATAGACTTTCTAGATATCTTCTTATTCACATCATAATGGTTTCCAAACTTCATAAGTTAAAGTTATAATTATCAATAGCTTTATTTTACACAATTAATTCATGTTATTCTAATGTTTATGTTGTTTGACGATATGGAAAATATCCAAAAGACTAGGTTTTTACTTTGGCTAACTATATAGTTATCTTACAGATAAAATGAAATATGATTATTCATTTTCCTTGGTTGGTTACATATGGTTTGAGTAATTTCGTCGTATAGAGAGGACATTTAAGGTTCCAGTAGTTGTTAACATGCATATATAGAGAGGACATTTAAGGTTCCAGTAGTCGTTAACATGCATATATAGAGGACATTTAAGGTTCCAGTAGTCGTTAACATGCATATATAGAGGACATTTAAGGTTCCAATAG